CTATTTCTCACTTGATTCTTTTCTACATTTGTTCTGGATTCGCTTTTTTTTCTTTGGTTTTGTCCATCTCCTCTTTGAATGCTTGTTTATAGTATCTTTTTTTTTTTAATTTTCAGAACTGATATGTATTATCTGTTTCATTCTTTCTCCTACCATAGAGTGGTAAAAATCTACGTCCAGCACTCTGTATGTTCTGATGTTAGTATATTTTCTATGAGTACATAATCGATCTTGTTGATTACTCTTTCATTCAGAGAATTCCATGTGCCTTCATGTATATTTTATTTATAAGTGCTCTTAACAATTAGATTATTATCTTTGGCGAAGTCTATTAGCCAGTGACCATCATTATTTGTTCTATGGTGCAAACTATGTTTATCTATGGTAGTTATATAGATTTCTTCCCAGCCTATTTTCGAGTTTGCGTCTCCTAGCACCAGTTGAAGATCGTATTCACGTATCCTACTCTTAATTTTTTGTTTATTAAAAACCCTTTTTAAACATTCTATTTATATCCCAGTATTAAAAAAAGTAGGTTTTATTTCAAATGCAAAAATATGAAAGAACCCTTCAAAAATTCTTCAGAAATATCATTTTTTATATTAAATTTAAATTATACAGCTGAATGCTCAGCTACAATAGCTATAAATACGGAGTAAATTTGTATCATACCGTGATATATGACTATATTTAATAAATACAATATTTGCAAGTACAATTATAAGAGCAAAAAAATTTGTTAAAATCCTTTATAAAAGGTATATAAAATTGCCTCAAACGGGCTATCACAAACACATTGCAAAACGTTTTCGGATTAAACAATCCATCATCAGTGCAAACGGTTGTACATGCTAGTAGTAGTACAACCGTTTGCACTGATGATGGATTGTTTAATCCGAAAACGTTTTGCAATGTGTTTGTGATAGCCCGTTTGAGGCAATTTTATATACCTTTTATAAAGGATTTTAACAAATTTTTTTGTGATATATGGTATACAGCCAGCTACAGGAACTTAGTTTCCTCGTGGAATTATAAGAGCATTTAAAGTTTCATTATTATGAATCTGTGATTACGTCACAACTGTCAGTGTTAAAATAAAACTGATGTTTTAAGAAACACTTTTTCACATTTAGACTTTTAGATCCAGTTTTATATAATATAATAAAAGATAACTGCAATATGAAAGAACTGAAAGCAAAAAACCCAAGCGGTATAAAAATCATAGAAATAAAAAATAAGAAAAACGTCACAATCCGAGACAGACAGGAAATTGAAAAATTTTACAGCAGACAGCGAGGCCATTGAAAAATTTTACACTAAATTATACTCGGTAAATACACAACCACAACAACGACGTACTGAACGAACAATAATTAACTCCGGCTCAGAAGAAGTACCGGACATAGACTAAAAAACACAATGCGAGAAAATGCTCAGAATATCGATTAATTAGCCTAATGAGCCACACTCTTCAAATTTTCCTAAGAATACTTCACAACAGAATTAGACGCAAATGCGAAGAAGATCTTGAAGATACCCAATTTGGTTTTAGAAATGCTATGGGAACCAGGGAGGCACTTTTTGCCATTAACATACTATTACAAAAATGCCGTGATTAAAGAAAATATGTATTTGCATGTTTCGTGGACTTCGAAAAGGCATTTGATAAAGTACAGCATGTAAAATTAATGCAAATACTGAAAAATATTGGAATAAAGGACAAGGATATTCGTATCATTTAAAATTTATACTGGAATCAAACTGCTATCGTAAAAATTGGAGATAACTACACCGATAAAATCTCTATACAACGATTCTATCAGATAATATTGAAAGTCTTCAAATTCTGCTTGATCGTATTCACGAGGTAAGAGAGGAAATGGGAATTAAATTAAACAAGACATATTTGGGAACTGTGATAACGGACCAACTATATCCAGGCATAGAAATAAAAGGTAGAATAGCAATAGCAATGACTAAAACTACTTTTATGAAAATGAAGTCATTTCTTTGCAATAATCATCTCAGATTAGAACTAAGACAAAGAATGGTGAAGTACTATTTGTGGTCCATACTTTTGTATAGTGCAGAAGTGTGAACGCTAAAAGTATCGATCTTGAACAAAATTGAAGCATTGGAAATGTGGGTTCATAGACGAATGCTGAAGATACCTGCTACTAGCAAGGAAAACTAATGAAGAAGTATTAAAGAGCATCAACAAAGATAGAGAACTGCTAAATACAGTTAAACATCGAAAAATGTCTTATCTGGGGCATATAATAAGGGGAAGTCGATATAAAATATTACAACTGATCCTTAAAGGCAAATTAGAGGGCCGTAGAGGTGTAGGAAGAAAACAAGTTTCTTGGTTAAAAAACATTCGTGAATGGACTCAGATACCAATGGTGATCGCCAACGTCGGATAATTCTGATATGGCACGCGAAGAAGAAGAAGAAAAGCAACATTAATTGCAGTTTCTTTAACATTAAGTTGAGACAGTTCTTACATTTTATCAAATACAAGAGATACAAAACCATAAACTAATAAAATCATGTCATTATAAACAAACTTATTAATATTTCATTTTAATAATGGCCATATGATTATATAAATATAAAATGCTGCCATATTTATATCATCCAATATACTTTGGGAACTAGACATTTTCCAATAAATGTATTATGTCATGATATGTATTTTTTTTATACAGTTACACAAGAAAATATAAATTTCGATGATGTTTTTGGCAACTTGTCACAATTTACGTCAGTGGATTAAATCATTCTTTATCGTCATCATAATTTATTTCTGTCTGTCTTTATATATCGATAACTGTTACAGTTAAAATTACCTCATTATCATTATCTCTAAAAGGATCTCTTTTTATTTTTGACGTCATCTATTTGACGTCATTGCTAAAGTTTTTAAATAGAAATGTAATACATTATCTTAAATGTCTCTTAAATGCCTATTTAGACATATCAATATGACTGAGTAATTAATGTTTGTATTTGTTGAAAAAATTATTAAAATTTTATTATTACAATAAATATTTATCATCTAGTATTCACTAAATATAGCGAAACCTAAATTAAGTGCTAAAATTGTTTACCTTCAACTCAAATACAATGAGAAAAATGTGCCGTGAACTCCCAAACTTTCCCGAATTTTTTGGTACACTTTGAAGTATTCTCATAAAAAAAATCAAGAGGAGTCAAATCAGGTGACCTAGGCGGCCATTATATTGTTCCTCTTTGACCTATCCGTCGATTTAAAAAGGCGTTGTTCAACTAGTTGCGCATCAAGACAGCATAGTGTAGAAACGCTTCATCTTGCTGCAGCCATAAATCATTTCTGTTAGGAAAAAACTGGTTCAATTCGGGGAGCAAGAAGTTTTGAAGAAATGCTAACTATCAAGGACCTGTTAAGGTTTCTTTAAAAAAGTATGGTCCAATAATCCTATTATCTATTATTTCCGCCCAAACATTAACTTTCTCTGGGTATTGAGTACTGTAATCTTGCATCCAGTGTGGATTTTTTGTAGCCCAGTACCAATAAGTTTGACGATTGACCGTTTAGTAGAAATGTAGTTTCATCAGAGAAAAGAACCTTTTCTAAAAACGTCGGATATCTGTTATTTTGTTCCATTAAAATTTCACAAAATTTAATTCATCTATCAAGATCATCTTCCCAGTAGCGCACCTAGAATTTTCCTTTTCCCATAATTTTGAGTCCTTAAAACTTTGTAACAGTGTCGGAATAGGGCATGAGGGTGAGTTAACCCCTCAACCCCCCCCCCATGCTTCCGTAAGTCCTTTTATTAAACTTACTTTGTAGGGATGCTACTTTTCCGTCTTCAGCTTTCTAAGAACTGTTGAATGGTCCATGTCATTATCTGATGCTACTTGCCGTGAACTGGTATGGGGATTATCTTTGACATGACCCATTTCTCTGAATTTCTTCTCACTGTAAGCAAAACTCGTATATCTCTGAATTTTTTCTCAGTTTTATCTCCACAACCAATCATTAGAATTTCAATAATTCAGTCCGCTTCATATTGGTAGATACTAAGACTTTACAAGTCGTTATATCTATTAACAATACACAACAAGTGTACACAAGTGGACAAGTATCAATGTTGATTAATAAGGTAACTAAATTTTTTTACTACAACACCCACATTTCCATTTAAAAATTTTAATAATGAAGTCATCACGCTCACGTACATGACGTTAAAAATAAAAAGGTATCATTTTGAGAAGAGGCGAAGAACTGCCACTCGAATGGAAAATCTTATCAGTTTATCGGGGATGTGAAATTCATCCATGGCTTCATACAATTTATTTCCTAGGACACTATCATAGGCTGATTTAAAATCTACGAAATGATGGTATGTGTCGATATTGAATTCATTGGTTTTTTCCAGTATTTTCCTTAGCACAAAGATCTGGTCTGTTGTTGATCGACCAGGCCTAAAACCACTTTGATACTCGCCAAGAAGCTCCTCTGAGTCTGGACTCAGGCGACCATCTTTTGCGCAAATTCAAACACAATAAGACCTTCAATTTTAGGTATATTGAAACCAATTTTACAAAATAATAAAAAATATGTATTAGTCGCTCTATTTACGATTTGTTTTGTAATAACGGGTAGGGAGAAAATATGCATGGATTTTACTTCCTCCTTCATTTTGATTTTGTTATTCACAACTCAAAAGAAACTTTAATATAACATATATATATTTCATAATTTTTAAAAATTTTCGGTTGCCATCTTGATAAAACTCTCAAAATTTCCAAAATAGAAATGTAAACGTCAAATATAACGTATTTTTAATTAAAATTATGGTGTATTCCCATTAAATATAATAAATAACATAGAAATGCCAGAAAAAAAATAGTTTCAGAATCGTATTGTAAAAGAGATTTAGGATAAAATGACCATTTCGTTATGTTTTATCGTTTTCTACTTACAATTGAATATTGTTTTTGTTTTAAAGGTGTGCAAGGTGAGGTCGAGTCAGAAGGTCCTTCCGAATCCGAATGTAGGCCATATATCGAAAAGGCTTTGAAAGAGCTGGAGGCGGGCGAAGTTGCCGCGGGATCATCGGCAGAAGATGGCGACGGTGATAGCAAGGAAGATATTCCCACTGTAGAAATAACTGACGACTCCGCTCACCAAGAAGGCGACGGAGAAAAAGACGATACTAACGAAGAAGGTCAAGACAGTAATGAGAACGTTCAAACTGTTTCCGAAAAAATCGAGCCAGAGGTACGACCAACTGTTATTCAAAAAATTTCTTCATTTTTCCAAAAAGTTTTTCAGAGAACTCCAAGCAAAAAAGAAGAAGCAGCAAATGAAAGCAAGCAATCTGAAGATAAGGTTAGTTTAGTTATCACAATCAAGAGTGTCTCTTCATTCATAGTTTCAACATAAAATCGGATATTCATTCATGAAACAATCAAAATTTTCATTATACATATTTCAAATTATATTATCATTGACTGCCAATGACTTTTTTAATATGTTTCTTTGTTTGTTATCTGCTTCCTTGAATATACCTTCTGACACTTTCAAAAATAGTTTATAAATTTTAATTTCAATAGTTTCCTGTCTTGTTTCATTCGTTTTATCTATACGTTAAGATTCATCATCATCATTGATGCTATAGCCCTATAAAAGAGCCTCGACCTTTCCAAGTCTATTACGCCAGTTAGTTCTGTCCATTGCCAACTGTTGCCAGTTTGCTGCACCTATTTTTCTACCATCCTCATCTACACCATCCTCCATCTGAGTTTTGGCCTACTCCTACTTCTACTTCCCACAGGTTGTGACATAAGGATTCTTCTAGGAGGGTTGTTCTGCTGTGATCTTGCCAGATATACTGCCCATCTTAGTTTTCCTATTTTTATAAGAGATACTACATCTTTACCATGAAATATATGTTTATATCTGTGATATATCTCGTAGATGTACTTTCTTCTCCAAACACCATTTTCACAGATGTCATCGAATATTCTTCTCAGGATCCTTCGTTCAAATATAAGCAGAAGGTTTTCATTTGCCTTGCAGATATGTCAACACTGGTTGTATAAGGGTTTTGTATATGGTTATTTTTGTTTTTTGGCTTCTCAAAAGCTTTTGGCTTTTTGGTTGGATATATCTCAACCATCTTGGATTGCCAAAATAGCATTTGTTTGCTAGTATTATTCTTCGCTTGACTTCTTCCGTCATGACGTTCTCCTTGGTGATCAGGGAGCATAAGTATGTGAATTTGTCCACCACTTCAAAGGTTGAGTCATCAACCGTTAATTGGTGGCCTATATTTCTGGCTCTATTGTTGGGTGTTGATGCCATTATCTTAGTTTTCTGCTTATTTACTTGCAGGCCCATATTTTTTGAGGCATTTGTCAAGATGGTATACATTTCTTCTAGCTTGCGTGTTGTGAGGGTAACTAGGTCAACATCATCTGCATATGCCAAAATTTGGGATGATTTATTAAAAATGTTTCCTCTGTTGTCTATTTGGGCATCCCTGACCGCCTTTTCCAGAGCTATGTTGAAAATGAGACACGCCAGTGCATCTACATGAGAATGACTGTATGGTCAGCTTATCTAATATTGTTAATAATTTCTCCACCTAATCTTACTCCTTCCTGGGTATACGTTTAATGGATAGTTATTTCATTCGAATGCCTTTTCAAAATCGATAAGACAAACGTTCTTTCAAAATTCACAAATTTTTTGTAGAAGAACGCGCATACAGAACAGAGAGTCTTTGGTTCCTTTTCAAAAAGCCATTTTCAAACCCAAATTGTCATTCTGCTTTCACATAAAAGAAATATTTGGTTCTGTAGACTTCGTAAAAATATCTTAAATATGTGGCTCATAAAAACTGACCAGCCTAAAGTCGCTGCATTTGGTGGATCTACTTTTCTTTGACAATGTTGTGAACTGCAACTCCAATTAAACATCTGATATTGTTCCTTCCTTGTAAATTTTATTAAATAAAGCAGTTAAATGGTTTTGCCCAGTTAGTCCAAAATTTGGCTCATTATATGGCCCATGAAAGAAAAGTATTGAGGACCATATATGGCGAAGTAAACGAACAGGGTCTGTGGAGAAGGCGATATAACGTTGAACTCTATAGACTTTTTGGTGATGCAGATATTGTGAAGACCATCAAAATAAACCGCTTAAGGTGGGTGGGCCACGTTATGCGGATGGATGAGAGTGATCCCACTAAAATAACTATGCTAAACAGGCCGGTCGGAAAAAGAAGAAGGGGCGACCTAAACTCAGATATCTGGACGATGTACAGGAAGATCTGAGGGAGATTGGAGTGAGGGGCTGAAGAAGACAGACACTCGATAGGGAAGGATGGAAGAATGTTTGAAGCAGGCCAAGGCTCACGAAGGGCTGTAGCGCCAACTGATGATGATATGGCCCATCTGAGTTCTGATTTCAATATACTGGGGTCCCTGTCTATCTTGCTTTCATAAATAGTATGTGTATGCGTAGCGTTTTCTCGAGCTTCATCGGTAAAAAAGTCACTGATGTATCTCAACTATTCGTCGCATTGTTGTTCGTGTTCACAACTGAGCATTGTTTGGTTTTCTAATCCCCCATATATATTTAAATTTCTGGTGAAGATTAAAAATGTAATCTTCTATTTCTTTAGAGGATTTATCGAGCTAAAGTCTTTGGTTTTCTTAATTTTACGTTATATTACTTTTACTGTATATAAGTTTATATGAGTTTATTGCTATTCGTTCTTTTTATATAATGGGATGGTTTCCCGTTACCTTCCCATCGCAGTTTTTTAGCCGTTACAATCTATTACATTAATTGTTGCCTAAAAGTAACTGTATAAAACTGTTCCAAGTATTCTTTTCCACTTTAAGACAGTAATGAAAATGTTGCTTTCCATTTTTCATTTCCATATTTCATTTTCTCGGTTCTACCCATGTCTGGGAGGTATTCCTCTATTTGTCATCTGGGGAAACGCTCAATACAGGATCTATCAACCGTATATAGAGCAAAAATTGGACTAAGGTGAAAGAATTATGTAAACGGGATGGAAGGGAAGTTGGCAACCACTGGCAATAGACAATAACTAGACCTATATATGTATACAAAAATTGTAATTATATAGAGACTACTATAAACATTTATATTTATGAATTTCCATTTTAAAATATTAAAATATCACATTCAAAATATTTACACTCAACTACCCTTACATTGCAAACAGTTCCGAATAGTAATCAGTTTTCATCACTACAATTCACAACGTTGTGCTATAACCGAACATTTGTTATTAACCAATTCAAATTAGAATTATGTACTAAATTTTTTGTTAAATATTTTTTTCGTTTTTCAAAATTTAGTTAAAGATCCTAATTGAAGATTTATGAGTAAAAATAAATAGCAATGTAAAGTTCACAAACTAATGCGAACTCACATAGACGTCAAAGTCTCAAGACCATTTGGTTGGGTAACTACCTTCGTTATCATTGTCACTGAAATGAAAATTAAGTTCCTAATTAGGCGTGAGTGAATTTAAACCAACTATAAAATAGTTACTTCTTTAGAATTACAATTAATCAAAATATGTGATATGCTATTTGTTTTAACTCAGTTCATTAATGCTAAAATAATTTGCTGCTTCAATGGAGTTTTCTTTGATATAGTTTTAAGATCTTTTACTAATTCTAATATTTTTAGCAAGATGATGCTAGCCAAGAACAGCAGGATGAAGCTTCTGTAAATGATGCCGATCGAAAAGACGCCGAAGAAGACGACGAACAGAAAGAAGATTCGAAGGAAGACGATACCAAACCTGACGAAGCAGTAAGCGCAGAAGACGATGGTAAGGATGATGCTAGCAATGAAGGGGACGTTGAGAAAGCTGATGACAAAGTGAGCGAAGATGAGGAGAGTAAAGAACAGCAAACTGATGACAATGTGAGCGAAAATGAGGAGAGTAAAGAACAGCAGGCTGAGAGTGAGGAAGAAAAAGCTGATGTTGATGATAGTAAAGAGGAAGTTGAAGCTCAACAAAATGCAGATGACTCGACGGAAGATGACGGTGCACAACAAGACGAAAGTAAAGAGGAACAAGCTCAAGACCAAGACAAGAGTGAAGAACACGGAGACAGTTTAGAGGAAAGGATAGAAGCCGAAATTATAGAACATCTAACACAATCCCAGGCCCAAATTCAAGATGATGAAAGCAAAGAAGACGAACCAGCAGCACAAGTTGAAGATCAAAAGGAAAGCATAGAAGATCAAGCTCAAAGTGATGAAGATCAAGCCCAGAGTGAAGAAGAACAACCTAAAAGCACAGAAGATACACAAGATACAAAAGATGATGACTCAAAGGAAGACGATGGAAAAGATGGTGAATCAAAAGAAGATGAAAAAAGTGATACGGAAGACGATAAAGAAGCGTCAAAAGAAGTTACTAAGGACGAAACTGATGATGACAGTAAAGAGGATGAACATGAACGGCATAAAAGATCTATTGATGATGCTCAGGATGATGAAATAGAATCAAAGGAAGAAGAAGCTGTTTTAAAAGAAGATGCGTCAAAAGAAGACGATACAAATTCTAAAGAGGATGAAGCAGCTACAAAAGAAGAAGTGGATGATAAACAAGAGGAAGCAGACTTAAAAGAAGACACAGCTGAGTCCAAAGAAGACGATGTGGATTCTAAAGAAGGAACAACAGAAGATGCTGACAAGTCTGATGAAAAAGAAGAGCCTCAATCAGACGAAAAAGCCGAGGATGATAAACAAGATAGTGCCGAAAACAAGGAAGATGACCAAAAAGATGGAGATAGCAAAGAAGATGACGCAAAATCAACTGAACAAGATGATAAAGATGATAAAGATGAAAAGGAGGAAGGTAAGTTTTCAACTTCGGTATTGGATAGTTTACATAATTTTGAATTTGTAGATGTTAAGCGTGACAGCAGGGAAGATAATACAGATGATAAGTCTGCAGAAGTAGAAAAAGATTCTAAAGAAAAAGATGGTGGCGATAGCGAGGAAAACGAGACATCTGATGACAATAAAAGTGCGGAAGATGGTGCTCCTGTGGAGGAACTATCCTTTGACACGGAAATTCCAAGCGACTTACGACCTAGAGAACACGTTGAGCAACTTCTTAAGCTCGACGAACAATCTTCAGATACAGAAACAGTAATTAACAGGGTCTCTGAAATAACCTTAAGAGATCTTAAGAAACTTTATGAAAATGCTATCAAGCCCTTAGAAGTTTTGTACAAATACAGAGATCTAAGTAACAGGCATTTCGGTGATTCGGAAATTTTCTCCAAGCCACTAATTTTATTTATGGGACCATGGAGTGGAGGAAAATCATCAATTATAAACTATCTCACTAACAACGAATATAACGATACCTCGTTAAGGACAGGTAATTAATTTTCTTAATTCTTCTTATATTTTGGCTGGATCAAGATTGTGAGCTTCGTGATTATTGTAAATTTGGTGCCCATGACACTTAGTCTCTCATTTATCTCTTAATTTCAGGTATGGAGCTTTCTCTTCTTCCTAGTTTTATGTCGCATTGTTCTTTTTCTTCCTTCTTGATTTTAGGCACATTAAGTCCTAGTGATAATTTTTATTTCGAATGATTCTCACTTTTTCGTCTTTCATCCAGTTCGTATATACTTTAAATATATATATATATATATATATATATATATATATATATATATATATATATATATATATATATATATATATATTAAATGGCCAAATATATGGCCTAGGAAGACAAATTCGCTAAACTTCCCGTGCTCGAACCGGTATCAATAAAGTGTTATGATCATTTCGGCCTATCCCAGCCTCATCAGACACTTGGGCTGATACAAATTCAAACTCGGAAAGTCCAACGAATGTCTCCCAAAACTTCACTTCCGCGTAGTTAGCTTACAAAGGCGCCCCCTGCTTTGGAGGCCGTGAACGAAACGATATGATAATATCGTTTTTTGTATCCTTTGTGCTATGCGAAATGTGTAAAAGATTAAATCTTTTAGCGAAAAGATTTAATCTTTTACACATTTCGCATAGCATAAACGATGTTTCTTCTAGCAGCTTGGGTAGATATTGGCGTCTAATTCAAACGTAGACAACTTTCCCCTATATAAGATGTCTTCTTCAAAGATGATATCTTTGCGAAATATTATATTTATAAGCTGTAATACATGCTTATATTGATTTAAATGTCTTTGCTTAGGGGCTGAACCATCGCCAGCTTATTTTAACATTTTGATGTATGGTGAAGAACCAGAGGTAATTGATGGAACTGAATTAGCTGCTGACTTCACATTTTCCGGATTACAAAAGTTTGGACAAGGATTAGAGGAACGCCTTAGAGGTGTTAAGTTACCTTCTAAACTGCTAGAAAAAGTAAGTATATCAGCATTGTAACAAATCTTAACTGCAAATAAATATATTTAATATATTTTACTGTGTTTCATAGGTTAACATTGTGGAAATACCTGGTATTCTTGAAGTTCGGAAGCAAGTTTCAAGAGTATTTCCATTTAATGATGCCTGTCAGTGGTTTATCGATAGAGGTGACATTATATTCTTAGTATACGATCCCTCAAAGCTAGACGTAGGACCAGAAACAGAAGCAATCCTAGATCAACTCAAAGGAAGAGAACACCAGGTATTTATTTTATATATTATTACTCGTTTGTTAGGCTATCACTTTGAAACTTTCTTTCCAAGCTGTAACTTTGTACAGATAATGGATAATAGCAAAAGAACAAATTATAACCAATTTAATAAATAATATAATAACAACATATTAACAAAATAAAAACAAAAACTTTCCTTTTATTTACATTACACTATCTAAGTATAACGTTAGTGCATTTCTAAGGGGTAATTTGACCTTCTAACCATTTCCACACTGCGACAAAAAGATGTTTTTATTTCAATGACTCGAATCGACACCTAGATGGTTTCCTTTCTTTTCCCAATCAGATAAAGGCAAACCTCTATATCGATAAGCAACTTCTCATTGGTCACTAACCGATGCAGTATATAACGGGCAGGCAGAATAATACAAAACGACATTAAAGTGCTAACCATCAAGAGTGAAGATATCACGGGTCTATAAACCGCCAATAGAAAGATTTAGCTCCTCTTCTTCTTCTTAAAGTGACTATTACAGAATTGATCCGTAATAAATCTATCGTTTGATTGAAATCTTCCACAAAAGCTTCGGCAGTCAATTCTTCGTGATAGTCGTTCGTAGGACTTGAAAAAATCTGGCAAGTCTCCATCAACCAATCCTTTATCTCCTCCAATATGAGTAATAATTAAAGAGCGACCTTTACCATTTGCAAATTTTGAGCCCGTAGGCAAACTTTCTATAAATGCCTGACGAGCATTTGTAACCAGTTTATCTTGCCAATCTTTTTTACAAACTGCCCTTCATTTATATACAGATTGAACGAATTTAAAACGGATCATACAATTTAATATATGTCTGTTTGAACTGCATTTGAAATAGTGGGCCAATATAAAACTTGGACAAAAATAAATCCATACCCGGTGTTAGACATTGTATAAAATATCGTTCAACTATCCGTCTCATTTTAGAACCCACCATAATCTAGAGCGCAGCTCAAAGTCAATGTTGGCAATCGCCGTGTAATAATCCGATTTGCGGATCTTTTTGAGAGTTATATCTTCTTCGTATCTTTAAATAAATCGGATATTTGCCTATATTTTTCATTGTATTTACCAATCTACTACAACACACTAATAACAAAAATAAACTTAATGATTTGTAGTTATTTCAGAAGTTTGTAGTTATTTATATCTAGTGGAATGATATTGGCAACACCGCTCAAAATCTCCATCTTCGCTAAACGAAAGAGGGGCTTGCCTAAAGGCGGCCACTCACGATACAGCGGCGTTGTTCAACTTCGTTTTAACTACACACTTGCTGTGATCATATTATAGAAAATCGAAATGGCTTGATTTAGCGAGAATTTTTTTTAAGAGAGTTTTTTAAATTATGTAAAAAACAAGAATGCTTATAGCGAATAAAAGGTAAAACGTATCACGGTAGAAACGCCCGAAAACAGGCAATGGACATTCTAGTTTTAAAGTTCCAAGAAGTAAACAAAGATGCGAATAAAGAGTATGTAAGAAAAAAAATTAACAATTTTAGAACATCCTATAAAAGAGAATTTAAATTAGCAGTGCAGTCCAGTAAATCGGGTGCAGGGGCAGACGAGATTTATTTTGCACCAAAATCTTGGATTCTTTGCACCAGAATCTACGTTTTATTTTAGGTTTCTTTTTACGCTTAGTTATACACAAAGTAAGAGATGCTAAAATGATTGTTTGATTTGACATGGTCGAGAACCGAACAAATACTGCGGCGCAGTATGGTGTGTGGGCGCACCAGATATACCAACAAATTAAATAACGCCTCTGTCCGATTATGTCGAACCACACCGCTGTACCGTGAGTGGCCGGCTTTAGGAAGCGATAGGTGGTTTGACCACCTATGAATGAGTTCTCGAATTAGTTCAGAATCCAGCAGCCCGCTGAAGTATTGGATTTTTATAATATAATTATTTGACAACCTTTTGTTGGCCAACCACCTACAGCAGAATTGAGCCGAAATACATAATATTTCGTATGTTCCGAATTTATTTCGTTCAATATGTATGTTTCATATAAATAAAAAATGTTTTTGCCTTCTCTTCTCAATTTTAGAAATTTCCTTATATTGCCTTATTCAACAAATAATTTCTTCTTTCTTTATGAGCCCAAATTTTCTGCGGGTAGCGAGTAGGAACTCCTCTGGATAGTCCTATCAGGGAAAATGAATCAATCCCTGCCCTCTGCAGATTTCAGGGATTTCCTGGCCCGGGAAACTAAAACCTGCTTAGGGTCACGGCGGAGAAGAATACCTTCGGCACGGCGTGGATGGCGGAAATGGCATTTCCCCTGGATTTAGGAATTATATAGAATCACTCGCCAACCTGCTCGGCAAGCGTGGCATTTTAAATATGCTAGAACCTCCCAAGTTGAAGATGTCGAGTATCAATACGAAATTACACCAGGTGAGTAGAGTTAAACACTCAGAATCTCACACTGAGCTTAAGTCAGCCTCATGGATTCTGGGGAAGGCAAATATTCGATTGAATCTAATAAGAAAAACTACTCATCATTGCTTCGTATGGCCACTTACAATATAAGAACTATGAGGACCCAAGAAAACCTTGACGAACTAGAACAAGAGCTCTCAAATATCAAATGGGATATAATTGGATTGTGTGAAACTCGCCTACCAGGAGAAGCATGTACCATTTTAAAATCTGGTCACCAGCTATATCAGAAAAACTCCGTAGAAAATCATCACATAGGCGGTGTAGCGTTCTGTGCAGTATCAAACATGGTTATGAACCGACAGGAAACTCAACAGATGAGGAAGCTGAATCATCTTACGAGAATCTGACAACAACAAGGAACCAAGAAAAATCACACTTTGTAATAATCACAAGAGATTTTAACACAAGGCATTCGTCGATTTCCATAAAGCATTGGATTCCATCGAATTATGGGCAGTGCTTGAATCTCTAGAAAATGCACGTACAGATTCAAGATACACTAACATAATTAAAACATATATGAAAATGCCACCATGCAGATAAAGCTGGTCGAAAGCACAAAAACTAATCCCATAAGACTACAACGGGGAGTAAAACAAGGAGACACCATATTCCCCAAACTATTTACCCTTGCTCTAGAAGACACTTAAGAAACTAGAATGGAACAACAAGAGTATCACCGTCGATGGATCATACTTAAACTACTTGAGATTCGCAGATGACATAGTTTTAATAGTCAATAATATCCAAGAACTAAATGATATGTTACAACAATTAAATGCAGTTTCAGGAGCGGTAGGCTTAAAATGAACCACAGTAAAACAAAAATACCTAGCCAAGACCAGACAAATATAACAATACAAAATTATATCATAGAAAATGTTGAACATTATGTATATCTAGGTCATGTCATCAAACTAGGAAAATCAAATCAAGAAGTTGAAATTAAAAGAATAACACAACTGGCATGGAGCGCTTTCGGCAAACTAGCACCGCACCTATATCTTGAAAAACACCTCCATTCTTGTAAACTTAAAGAAAAAGGTGTATAACACATGCATACTACCAGTTTGTACCTACGACTTGGAGACAAAAGCCCTTACCAAAAAATCTGCTAAAAGATTAGAAACAACGCTAAGAGCAATAGAACAAATCATGATTGGAATATCACTGAGAGACAAGATTAAAAAAACCGAAATAAAACATAGAACGAAGATTAGGAATATTGTGGAAGAAATTACAAAAATGAAATGGCGCTGGGCAGGTCACGTAGTCCGATATAATGACAATAGGTTGACACGGAGAATTCTAGAATGAAGATCAAGGACGACAACAAGAAGTATGGGAAGACCTCAAAAAAGATGGGTAGATGACATAAGAGCAGTGGCAGGCAAACAGTGGATTAGATTGGCGCAAGATAGAGAAAGATGGAAGCAATTGGGAGAGACCTACATTCAGGAGTGGATGGAAAATGGTTGACAAAGAGGGAGAGGGCAAATTTTCTATTGTTATTTTCATAAATAAATTCTAATTCGCGTAAATTTTTCCACAATGTATCTCTTTTAATGTATGGCAAAGATTCGTCTTCATTAATATCTACTAAAAGTTTATCCAAAGTGTTAATCTTTTTTTGTTGCACAGTATCGTCTATATGAATGGGTTTTCTCCTTGTTGACGTTTTAGGTGCTTCTGTAAAACTTCCACTCTTTCGTTGCTTTAAAAGTCTATAAATAGTTGCTTCTCTAACTTCGGTCATTTATGAACACTTAGAAACTATACTACGAACAATACTTGTAAAATGTTTATGTACAAGAGCATCATGTACATTAATTTTTATGCACACGCTTAAATGACAGTTTAATTTCACATAAGTAAAATTAGCTTGTAACCTTTTTACAACACAAGTTTACTTATTATTATCGCTTTTTATTATAGAACTAACAATTATGCGTGTTGTAATCGCAGAACTTTACAAACACAACCTTTAATCTTAACTAAAATCGTGACTAACAAAAATCTACTTGTATATTAAAAAATTTTTCATTGAAAATTCAATTTTAGACCCGTATTATTCTCAACAAAGCTGACCGAGTCAAACCAGAAGAGCTCTTGAGAGTGCAAGGAGCCTTGATATGGAACATTTCTCCTTTGATGTCATCTCCGCAACCTCCAATTATGTACACAACCTCATTATGGTCACGACCTTACGAACCTTGGGCCCCCGTAAGACTACTGCAAGCTCAGGAAAGAGCTTTTCTGAGAGACTTGAGAGGGGCTGTCGACAAAAGAATTGAAAATAAAATAGCAAGCGCACGTAGATTCGCTGTAAGTATCAATTGACAGTTTTTGTATTGTTTTTTCACTATTCTATAAACTATTTCATCAAAAGTATAAAAATTTTGTGAAGGTTTCATTCTCTTTGTTATTAAACACATTCTTTTTGGCTAGAAATAGTACACTGCAATATCTTTACCTTGTAAATCATTGCTATGTCGCAGTTATTAATGTTTGCCGGCATACTGTATGTATCCAATGAGTCCAGAACATCTATCTTTGGATTCGGACCACAGCAAAAACGATAAACCATATTTAAAGCCTTAAATCTTCGTGGAATTTAAACAAGCTTACGATTCTATTAGCAGAGAAACATTGTACGAGACCATGGTAGAAATGGGAGTACCTGGAAAGCTGGTACGATTAGCACAGGTGAGCACAGAGAACGCTTCCACACGGATCAGAATTGGCACCACCACGTCGGAGGAATTCATAGTACTACATTAAAGCAAACCGAATCAGATGGGTGGACCACGTGCTAAGATCAAGTGACGAAAGACTCCTGAATGCCACATTCTGGAAAAGGCCCGATGGCAGAAGGTCAGTTGGTCGCCCAAGAAAGAGATGGAAGGACGCACTAGCCAGTAATCTATGCAAAATGAGAATACAGCAATGGGAAATAGTTGCTCAGGACCGACAACAAAGGAGGGAAATAGTAAACGCGTCCAAGACTTATATAGAGTTGTAGAGCCAAATGATGATGATGATGATATCTATAGGCTATATTGTTCCAGCTTCTTTAGGCACATCAAGAGTGCCTTTAATTGTACAAGCTGGAAAAGAATATTAAATATATTAAGAAACTTGGAAGTATCTACATACCTTCAACATTTAGTTCACAAAAAGACAAATAAGCATAGAAAAGGGCAACCTTATGGAGACATAGGCGGGTGTTCCACAGGACTCGGTTCTTGGACAGATGGTGTGAAACATCTTATATAACGGCATTCTAAAAGATCTGTAAGAAGGGATACAGATAAGATACACAATGATAATTTAGATCAAACTGGCAAACTTTACAATGATAATTGGCTGATCATGAACTTGGCAAATACTGTATTCTTCTTCTTTAAGTGTCGTCTTCTAATCGGAGGTTGGATATCATCATCAGTATCTGTACTTTATTTACTGCTGCTCTAAAGAGTTCTATAGAACTGCATTTAAACCAGTCCCTTAAATTCTTCAACCATAACACTCTCCTTCTTCCTATACTCCTTCCTCCTCTTATCTTTCCCTGTATTATCAGCCTTAGCAGTTCATATAGCTGTCCCCTGATTACGTGTCAAAGATATTGTAACTTTCTTATTTTTATTGTGTTTGATATTTCGTACGCTTATAATCGTTTCTACAAGGCCTTATTCTCAACTGTCGTTATAAGCTATTTACGACATTATAACGCCTAACAAAAGACGAAAGCTATGGGTTCCTAGTGTGCCACAGTAAAACTATTTGAGCATGCTTACAGTGCCGATCGTTACAAATAATTCTGAAAGTTAAATACGCACAAGTAACACCGGTGATCCTAATGGCACAATTGTAATCTGTTATAGAAAATGTCACACTGAGAGTGCAGTACGGGTAAGATACGGCAATGCTTTTCTTATGGAGAATAAACGCGCAGGGTTGTCGGTTTTCTCCAGCTGTTGATTGCTCATCGTCTCACAGGACCGGCTTGAATAAAATGCATCTGCCGGCAGTACGAGTAAAATATTTTATATCATGTATATGTATACAGTAGAATAAAAAGGCATTGATGAGTTATTGACAACGAAAACTATGAATTTTGCATATAAAACGTCAACATGAGATATACAATTGAATCATATTCATTCAAGAGTAACATTTGAATACCTCTTTACAAGAACAACATACAATAACTGTAGTTTTAATGTTTTACATAAAATAGAAAAAACTTACATAATTTATAGGAAAGAATTTGGAAACTTGAAAATGCTATTATTTATAGATATTATATATAATATTTAAATTTCCAATTCTTTCATAGAAATTAGATTTTTTCTATTGTATGTAAAATATTAAAAATACAGTTATGTTGTTTCTATAAATAGGTCTTCATTTCTTTTATAAAACTTCTGCTACAAATTACCATCATTAACATAATCACCTAAATATGGCCATAAACTTGTTTGTCATAATTAGTATTTGATAAACTCCAAGTTTTCCCTATTTCACCCCCAACCCATCCTAAGGATGGGTAGGGGGTGAAAGTGCTTTTGGAAAACGAAACTACACTTCAAAATTTAGTCCGAGTTTCAACAGAGAGCATGGAGTCCCATAAGTTTAAATCCGGTGAATTATTTAACGGTTGCGCTAAACTCGTAGTGTTAAATGTGTTGTGTTTTTTACAAAATACGGAACAACTTAATGTAAGTGCTGCTGTAAAACTTACTTCGTTGATGACTGGTGTTAGCGAATGAAGCATTTACAATTTCAACAAAAGAAAAAGAACAGAGTGGAACGTTGAAATCGCCAAAAAACGTAAAAAGCGAGTGTTTCAATCAAATTCTAGAATATTCACATATGACGAGGGTGTAAGAAGTATTCTACGGAGAATTGTTCATTGTGAATTTTTCATGAAAAATTTGCCGCCATTCTTAAAGCATATACATAACTTCATACAAGGTAATGAGAATATACAGCCGTTGTCTCTTTCTACTTTATACAGACTTTTGAAAGATATTGGATTTGTTTATAAGAAACGTGGCCGAAAAAGCATCATGGTGGAGCGAGAGGATATTATTCATTGGCGCCATAATTATTTGAGAACTATACGACGTTTGCGAAAAGACCATTGCAATATCATATATTTGGACGAATCTGGGTTAATGTTGGCCAATCTATAAATTACGAATGGTGCGATACTACGATACAAAACAGTCGTGATGCTTTTCTCAAAGGCTTCGCACGCGTCACAGAGCAAAATTGGCGCAATTATGTCACTCATGTTGTTGAGAAAACGAAAACTGAGATGTGGACTGCGGATAACCTGCAAGATGACGTAGACCAATTGATAATACACGCGAACACAGGGGAGAGTAGCGAAAGCGAATCCGACATCTCGGATGTAGAGGACAACTTTAGTATAATTAATTGAATATCTGTGAGTAACCTCTATTATTTTACACTGTATAATCAATAAAATGCATTTACCAGTCCAATCAGAGTATGGGCTTTTCGGATATTGGGCTGGGTGCACGGAAATCGAGTTCCCGGAGGTTCCACCCTGTATATTTATAGCTATCAAGAAATGTAATTTAAAATATATTTGTTAGTTTAATAGTAGTTATAAGTAGAAATATAATATAACGCTAAATAACTTACACTATAAACCTTATACCTGCTCATCTGATCAAGTGTGGGCAAGGAAAACCATTATCCCATATGGAATAACACAAGGTTTCGCTGAAAACTACCAGGTTGCTATGCCAAGGAACTAGGTAAACTTATGTTGTGTGTAAAAAATGCGAGACGACATTATGCGAAGGACAAAAACTGCACTTCAGATTTCCACAAAAAAAATTTTCATAGTAGGTGTTAAAATTTCGCAGTGATTCAAGTGCGCAACTTGATTTTTTAATAACATCGTCGGGATTAAAAAATGTGCAAAGCTTTTTCGATATTCCCGTTCCTGATAATTTTTCACATATTTACAAAAGAAAAAGTTTTTCTTGGATATTGGGCTGGGTGCACGGAAATCGAGTTACCGGAGGTTCCACCCGCTATATTTATAGCTATCAAGAAATTTAATTTAAAATACATTTGTTAGATTAATAAAGTATACAGTTTTATAATAAAATTCTCGCTAAAAACTTAAGGTCTTTTTATTCAAATTCATGCCTCTTATTTGGCTACTTGAAGGCAATTATTTTATCAATATATTATTTTATAATAAATAACAGAGCCCGGCGTAGAGATCTGGTACGGTTCTGTAACTACCACTTGGACCTGTTTGTATCGCCAAGCATAAGGCGTGAAATCCGGCAATTGTGCATTCCTATATTAGCCGTACTGCACTCTCGGTGTGACATTTTCTATAGTTAGGATCGCCGGTGATCCTTGTGGCAGCCAATGTGTTAAAGAATGGCGGGAATTGATTAATTGCTTTTTAATCTATGCTATTGCCTGTTTTGTGGTATTTTACTTATTATTTTTATTTTTAGGTGCGTGTACGCAACCATGCCAAAATGGTGGACTGTTATCTCACAACTTACTATAATCACAAATCGGTCTTTGGTAACCGGAAACAAGTAGCTGACGCAATTATAGAGCATCCTCAAGATTACCACATCTACGAAGGACTTTCTACCCTCACGAACATTTCCCGTTACGATCTTCCAGATCCAGATGTATACAAAGACTTTTTCAAACTAAATCCACTGTATGAATTCCAGCAACTATCAGCAACATGTACTTACTTTAGGGGTTGTCCAATCAATAGGTTAGATATCGCCATTGCGTACGATCTTCCAGAGCTGTTAGGGACGCACAGGAAACGGGTAGAGAGTGCATTAACAGAAGGACAGTCTGGCTCACAACAACAAACTTCAACGCCTGGTAGTTGAGCTAGTAGTAACAGTCCAAGTATTAACCAAACTTGTAGATACAAGTCCTGTGAATACTGAGAAAACTGATGTTATCCCAAAACATCGACTAAACGACTCGTTTATTCTGAAAAGAGGCTTAAAATGACAGTCCAAGTTTTGGGATAAACATCTAAATTTTATTTAAGACTTTAAAAACGCACTCAGCGTTAAAATATCGTGAGATCTTCCATTTTCGAATTTTGTGGTAAATGTTTTTCTTCCTTGTAAACGAAAAATGACTTATTTTAGGACCTTTGTGCTAACGTGGCCATATGGACTGATGTAAACTAACTTATGTGAACATCGAAGACGTTTTAGCGCTATGCTTTCATGGTATTCTTTCATTTTGAGCAAACTGAAGCATCCCAACGTACTCACAACTTTTCATTCTTTAATAACCCATTCTTTACTTGTAAGCTTGAAAAGAAAGAATATTACTATAGTCTCCTGCCAGTGTGTTGATCGCATTTAAGAGTTCTTGCTATCGGAGTGTTCTTGCATCCAGCAGTCGATTTCAAAGAGAGTAGGCAATTTAATATATTTTTGACACCAGGTGTACAATTCCTTACTAAAATTTCAAAAACTGCGAAGGTTTATTCTTGTTATGTGTATATTGAATGTACAGATAATTGATACGTTGTAGTCCGTGTAACTTAGTTATTTTATTTGTTCTTTTTCATTCGAATTATTTATGAATAATAACATTTAAGAAGACATTAATAGGTTAAGTAAATGAATAAAATAAATATGTTTACATTTGTATCGAGATGTTTTATTTCTTCTGGCCTTCCACCAGGAATTATTTGATTTACCTATCTTATCGGTTATAATTAAACTATACAATGATATCTCAGTACTATACCACAAATCTGAGTTAAGCTGCGACCTTAAGTCATCAAGAAGAGTTATCTGTGGATTATGTCAAACGTTACATTTTTTTTCTGTACAAATCCTACATTAGGTCAATACTGGATTATGGTTGTTTCTTCTACGACCATGCTTCAAAAAGTCAACTAGAAAAAATAGACTACGTAGTAAATAAGTGTCTAAGACTATGCCTAGGGGCTTTAAAAAGTACACCAATTGATTGTTTATTTGCAGAAGTAGCGGAAACTCCACTAAAATATCGCCGAAAGATTTTAGCTTCCAATTTTATAGCTAAATTAAGCTCCAAAAAAAGCGACTTAATCCAAAAAATTAATATACTGTTGACATCGGATCTTACCCATAGTTATTGAAAGTCGAAAAAAAGTGTAACTATTACAGAGTCATACTATGTAATACATAATGTAATAGAAGAAATACACTCTTCAGTAATAGATCCATTATATAGTATAAATATTTACAACATCCATCCAATTAACTGTGTTTTTCTCCAAGATTATTAAAAATTTCACCCAAGAATTAGACAATACATATTTAAGCAAGATTTAGAAAAGTATCTGCCTAGATGTTGATATATAGTCACCGATGCATCAAAGAGTAACAATAAAGTAGGTTGCGCTATATTTGATTCACATAATAACATTAAAAAGCAAATATTCTCTACGAAAGGTTGCAAGTTTACACAGTGGGCATAATTGGTAAATATCAAGTTGGATTCACTCCAGAAAAATCAACAATTGACCAGATTCATTCAATAAGACAGATTCTCGAGAAAACATTAGAATTCAATATTGAAACCCATCTCCTATTCGTCGACTTCAAGGCCGCATACGACAGTGTCAAGAGAACAGTGCTATACCAATCAATGCATGAGTTTGGTATACCAGAGAAACTTATCCGACTAACGAGAATGACAATGTCTAACTTAGAAGCCACTGTTAGAATACAGGGAGAGAGTTCTAGATCCTTTGAGATAAAGGATGGACTCAGACAAAGAGATACTCTGGCTTGCCTCCTATTTAATATTGCCTTAGAAAAGGCAGTCCGAGATACACTAATTAGGGATGGCGGTACTATTTACAATAGATCGATACAAGTCTTAGCATATGCTGATGATATTGACATAGTAGGGCGTAGCAAGCGAGATGTTGAGCAATATCTCCTAGAATTGAAAACAGCGGCGAAACAGGTCGGTCTAGTCATCAACGAAGACAAAACCAAGTACATGTTGGTTACAAAGGATCCGATAGCAAATGAGGAACGAGAAACAGTCTTTGGAAGTCATACCTTTGGACGTGTTGACAACTTCACATACCTTGGGTCGCTATTGACTGCTATCAATAAAACAAGCGAAGAAATCAAAAGACGAATAAATCTTACAAATAGGGCATACTATGGACTCCAAAAGCATTTCCACTCAAGAAACATTCAAAGAAAAACTAAAATTATTATATACAAAACATTGCTGAGGCCGGTCTTCACATATGGAGCAGAAACATGGACTCTAACGCAGAAAGATGAAAGACTTTTGGGAATATTTGAGCGTAAAATACTCCGCAAAATATTTGGAGCTGTAAACGACCAAGGATAGTGGCGCAGAAGATATAATTTTGAATTGTATCAGCTCTTTGATGAGCCAGATGTCATAACGTTCATTAAAACACAGCGACTTAGATGGGCTGGACACATAATACGAATGCCAGAAAATACCATTGCTAAAAAGCTAACCACAGGAACACCTGTAGGAAAAAGAAGCAAAGGCCGACCGCGAATTAGGTGGTTAGATGGAGTAGAAACCGACTTACGAATATTAAAAATCCGAAGATGGCAACATGTTGCCAAAAACCGAACAGAATGGCGACAAATCTTAGAGCAGGCCAAGATCCACAGAGGATTGTCGAGCCAAAGATGATGAATAACATTAAAAAATCTTATAAATTAAATGAAAAACTAACAATATATACGGCAGAATTAATCGCCATATTAGAAGCTCTTCTATATATAAGTAATATGAAAGTTACAGAAGAAACATTTGCAATTTGTTCAGATAGTAAAAGTACTGTTATTAAAATAAAAAATATCCACCAGGTCAATAGTAATTATATTTTTACCAAAATAATTACAAAACTTCATGAACTGAAATCTCAAAAAATTAATGTATCACTTGTTTGGATTAAATGACATTGTGGAATAAAAGAAAATAAAGAGGTAGGCGAAGAAGCTAAAATAGGAAGTAGAACTGGAGAATATTTAAGGTATAAATGTCCTCACAATAAAATTGCTTGCCACGTAAAGCCCATATTATTAACAGAATGGAGAGAAATGTATAGAAGCAGTCAAACAGGAAAATTTTTATAAAAACATAGTTTTGCATTATTCAAATCATGAACGTGTTGCTTGTGTGAGTCCATTTCAAATAGATAAAAGAAATAATAAATAAGACTTACTCACAATCAGTTTAATTTAACTATCTAGACGACCGGTTTCCCTTTGTACAATATACAAAGCATCTTCAGGTCTGTCGATACAAAGTTAATTACATGCTGAAATAATAAAACTCATATTAGGTCGTTGTCTTATAAAAATAAACAAAGATAAATGATATAAATTACAGTAATTATGCCAATATTACATGTCTGTGATTTTCCAAAATGAATAACTACATCTCTGACTGGGAGACAATGAGTTTTTTTTTTCAAAAGAAAAAGTCAATGAATGTTTTGAGTTGTTTATATTTATTAACGTAGTTGAGAATTAAAAGATTCATCGTTGTTTACATTTATTCTCCTCTAAAAACAAAATACAATCAATTTATCAGGTTATGGGCCCAGTGCTATTAAAAAAACTATTTTGTAGTAAGTGCAGAAAACCAGACGGATTTAATATAATTAATTAATTTAAGACGGAATAACGGAGTATACGGAAGACGCATACTCCGGTATTGAAGATACACTAAGGAATATTTCATCTAAAGAAGCATTTATTTCATCTAAGGTAAGAGAAACAAGAAATAATAACATCCAAAAAATATAGGAAACTGTGGGTTAGGTATTAGAAACAGCCGAGACGAACGTTTAATAGATTTTGCAACCGAAAACAGTTTGGCCATTGTAAACACAATGTTCAAACATCAGGCCCGTCGTTTATCGACGTGGACCAGCCCAAATGGAGAATACAAGAACCAAATCAACTACATATTGATTAGAAGACATGTTTTACAAACGTAAAAACTAGACCAAGAGCTGAATGTGGATCCGATTATAAATCGTTATGGCCTTGCTTCAAGATGAAGCTAAAAAGAATAATGCCGCACCAAAATCAAAACAGGCTAGAGATTTCAAATCCGAAAACATTTAGAGATGCATTAAAGGAAACTAGTATGTTAAACACACAAGACAACCCAGAAGAAATGTGGAAAGGTTTCAGAAATGCCATAGAAAACTCTGTAGAAAGAACCAGAACCGAAAAAAGATCATCAAAAGAAAACACTGGATGACAGACAGAACGCTGCAACTTCTCGAAGAGCGAAGGAGAATCAAATCCCTCAAATATCAAAACGACATCAACAAAAACGAATTAGCAAGGTTAAACAGAGAAATTAAAAGAGCATGTAGCGATGATAAAAATAAACATATAAATGAAGAATGCGAATAACTAGAGAGACATGCAAACCGGTATGAATCCCATGAGCTATGTAACAAAGTCCGATATCTATCCAGGGAATTTAAACCAATCACATAAACAATAATGGATCAAAACCAACATATTTAAATGACGAGAAAGGGATTGCGGAGGTATGGAGAAAATATTGTCAAAGTCTATATGCAGATGATCCCCAGAATGCAAATTACGACGAGTTCACTGCAGAGAGAGAACCAAACATTCTAAATTAATTACTATTAAACTGGGAATAAGCCACAATTAAAGATAAAATTACGTTTATTGACGTTTCAATTTCCACTTCGGAAATCGTTCTCAAAACACAAACAGTAAATTAAACAAATTTTGTTTTTCAACAAAAAACATTGTAGTTAACTAATTGTAGCAATAACTACTGTGTTATTTATTTTATATTTTAGTTATTTTTTAATTTTGACTTTTCTGTTGTAATTCATAATTTCTAAATATTTATTAAAGAAATAATTATCGTTGTTTTGAAATGACGTCGGCAAAATTAAAGTATATGATCGCGAAAAATTGTTAATTTGCAAAATGACTTTTGACAGGTGATGTGGGAGGGGATCCTTTCAACCAACATTAGTAAACGTCAACATTATTTAGATATGTACTCTGAAAATGAATCGTAGTGAGGGATTTGTTAAAAGAAGGAATGTAACAAGGGAAAATAGTGAGGGTTTAAACAAAGAAGAACAAAATAATGATAAGAAATCGAGCCGCGATGAAGATGTCGACGATGGTGATTCTAAAGAAACAAGGTTGACGTTAATGGAAGAGGTCCTGCTCCTTGGTCTCAAAGATAAAGAGGGTTACACGTCTTTTTGGAATGACTGCATTTCCAGTGGTTTAAGAGGATGTATTCTAATCGAATTGGGGCTCCGGGGACGGGTGGAACTGGAGAAAACTGGTATGAGAAGAAGAGGCCTTCTTGCAAGGAAACTAATTATTAAGAGTGACACCCCCATCGGAGACGTACTTCTGGACGAGGCTTTAAAACATCTTAAGGAAACGGAACCACCAGAAACAGTTCAAAGTTGGATTGAATACTTAAGTGGAGAAACCTGGAACCCATTAAAATTGCGATATCAGTTAAAGAATGTTAGGGAACGTTTGGCAAAAAATTTAGTTGAAAAAGGTGTGCTTACCACTGAAAAACAAAATTTTTTATTTTTTGATATGACCACACATCCCCTAACAGACAATGTCACAAAGAGTCGATTAATCAAGAAAATTCAAGATGCTGTTCTCTCCAAATGGGTAAATAATCCTCAACAGATGGATAAAAGGATGTTAGCTCTGATATTCCTAGCACATGCAAGTGATGTACTCGAGAATGCTTTTGCACCTCTCAACGATGATGATTATGAATTAGCAACTAAAAGAGTAAGAAAACTCCTAGATTTGAATTTTGAAGAAGAAGCCAACAAACCAAACACGTCTGATGTGTTGTGGGCTGTTTTTGCTGCTTTTACTAAATAAAAAGTGTAACAAGTATGGTTATTTTTTGCCAAATGACCAATACCTCAAAATTGAAACTAATTTTAGATCTTTTGAGGTATAGAATTAAAACCTTTAAGTTTATTTGATGGTTTACAGGTAACTTTTATAGTATTCATAATTGTTCACATTTTAACTATACTATTAGAAATAACATTAGGACGCTGAAGTACTTATACAACTACATATTGTTCTCATGAATTTTCTGGTTGTATAGTTCTAATATACTCTGCTTTGGTAAAACTCTTTGTTCTCGGGTTAATAAAGTATTATTTCCCTAATCTATATTTCAGAGTTGGAACATTACTGTAACTTCTCGTTTGACTTGGAGGAAGTTGAAACTGATATAAAAATTTCATCCCATTTGCAAAATCCCCTTTTCATATTTTTTACCAAGGATCACATCTGTTAGGACCTTTACATATTTATTTTCATATTTAACATTGTATATTCGGTATCGTTTTTGCGTTTCCTTCAAAAACGTTTGACATCTATAAAGTATCACTACTACATACAATTTTAAACTTGTAACATCAAAAAATTGATCTGGGAACGAAGAGTGCTAGTTTTTTCTAAATTTCGTAATATCAGTTAATAGTGTTGTTTTATGACCTTGTTGACTGAGTAGGAGCATTTTTCAATTCCAAAGCCATGGATATCAATTTCTTTATGGGGAGTTTTTTTATACTAGGTGATATTTCTTTGTATAGAAGTAAATTTTCAAGTCGTAAGTCATTTCATTTCTTAAAATAACTTTATTCCTTCAAAAATACCATTTTTTCTTGTATTTTCTTTACATTTTTGTTAAACATGTATACTTATATACATTTATGTCAGTTATTTCTCTTTTTTCTTGTATCAACATTTATTAAACAGTATTCCTGGTTCTATTTGGAACATTTTGGAATATAACTTTGGTCCAGAATTATTCCAGTCTCTATTCAATCTTGTACAGATTACAGATATGCTCTAGTAATCTTAGCAGGCTTAACAGTACTGAATGACTAGGATTTTAACTGTGAGATGTGATAATTTCGATTCTTTGAAGTTAAGTAAATATTGGATTATATATTTTTTTAATAATCATATAGAAAAAACAACATTTTAGTATTGATCCTCTCTTGTTATTTGCTCTTACTGAAAAGTATTGATCATTTTTTAAATAAAGAAAATACTGTACCTCAAAAATTATGTATTTAAAAATTTGGTGGATGTTATTTGGTAAAGGATTACCAAATAACACTTTTCCTTAGAATATTATATATTGAAATTTTTATTTTGTAAATTTTTGTTAGGTTTAGCATCTTATTGATTAATTTTACAACATAATTATCTAATTTAGAATTTTAGATTTGTAGATAACCTTGAAAATAGGGTTAGATTTTAGTTTCACTAATTGTAAACACCTTATTTGATTTTACTTCAAACTCTAAAACTGTAAAATACATTTTATAAAGTTGTCTTCTATTATTTAGTAGTAACTATTAAGTGCTCAGCTGAGAGGTGACTCCCCTGTTGCCTTCAATTGATCCTTCTTTTATATTAATAAGTATTTGTCCTTTTGCAATTTTATACTCCTGAAGAGCCCCAGCATTGTTATTATTATTAGAGTCATGTTTTGTTTAATTATTTTCAATAGAATAGACAAATAGACCTTCTTTTTTTATGCTGCTGACAATTTTCGGCCATATTTTAACTCTTTATACAGTAATATAGTAAACAAATTTTACATAATCATACCAGCTATTATTTTTTTTTGGAAAAATAATGTACTGTTTATATTGCAATTTTTCCAAATATATAAAAGATGTGGTAAAGTACTTTAGTATATTACCAAATAAACCAACATTAGTGTTATTTAACAAGTCAGTCTTTATCTCTTTAGAAGATATTTTGAAAACCTATACTAGCAATAGTATTTTACTCAAAGAAAAACTGAGGCTTAAAGCTGCTACCTTAAACTATAAATCAAATTATCAGTTTTGTGATAAAAGCCGATGGAATCTCTTAACGTTTTTATGTTGAGTCTATTAGATACTGCATGGTCTGAATAATTGATTTATAAATACTGTAGTGCTGTATCGAGTGTGTAATTAAATTTTTTATATGTTTTCTTTCTATATTAACTTTCAAAAACAATCAATCATAAAATAAAAATAATTCCCATACATATTTATTTGTGTTGCTTATCTGTATTTTTGCTAGATTCTAGTAGACTACATATCTAAATTTATTGCATTAAACAAAAGTTTTGTTGAATACAATAGTATTTTCAGTATTCCAAAAAAATATTTTTTGATAAAATATTCGTAAAACATAGATACATTTTTAAACTGCTGTAATTTTCAAGGTTGTCCACAAACTTAACAATATTTATTAGCATATACCATAATGTTAAGTGGCCCTTTAAATTTTTTGTATAAACTGTGATAGTCCATCACTCTGATTCTCTAACGAAATATGTCATTAGATTGTCTACTAAAAAACTAATAATTTATTTAAAAGCGGTCTACAAACATCATGTAGCTGCTGATAATATTGTATATATAAAATTTATATTACATTAGGTACTTCATTGATATGTTGAAGAAATGGTTTTATGAAACAATCGTTGAGCAGTTTCTTTGCATTATGGTTATTGCTTTATTACGAATTATGTATAATTTTATTCTGTCTTTGCTGTAAATTATTTTTACATTGCAAAAATATCGATATTTTAACTTGAGCACCATTCTTTTTTACGTTAACAGTGGAATGGCATGTGGCAAGGTGGAATAATTATTATCAATAAATAATTAATTTGTTACAATACACTCAAAATTTATAGTACACTGAAAATATGTTCCCAACTTCACATTTTTAAGTATTTGTATTAGTGTTAATTTAACTTTCTATGTTTAGATAAATGTCATACATATAATAAACCTAAATGTCTATATAAGTTTTTTTTTGCATATGTACACAGTTTTTTTTGTCGTGAAGACTTTTTTTATTTAGTTACTCTATTTAGCAACCAAAATTTGCTGTCTGCAGAGCAAAGGGCTCCTATTGGCTTAGTGAGGTCTTATCCAGTGATAAGACCACTTTAACCATTTCTCAGGTCAGCTGGCCATTTCCTTTTGAGTTTCTTATTGGCATTATGTTCTATCAGAGGTTTAAATAAGGTATTATTGTGTGATTCCAGTACTCCAGGGTGGATCAGTTATCATTTGCAGTATTTTCAATTGACTTTTTACGGTTGTATTTGCTCGCACATCCTCAGATTGTTTCATGTATTAGTATTATGGTTTGTTATGTGTTTCAAGAATTTATGTCTATTTTTAAAAGTGAAAAGTAAGCATTCATAATGTATGTTCCAGTCAATGTTTAGCTTTTTGAAATTAGCTCTACATGAATCCCTGTATTTCAAGTTAAGTAGAGTTCTGATTGCTCTTTTTTGTAATATAAAAACCTGTTCAGTGTTACCACTACCCTCATGGTTGAAGAATTTGCGAGATTGGTGTGGTGTTGATACAAGCATGCTACTTTGGATGGCAGTGAATAAAATTAAGATAGCTATGATGGTAACCAACATTCTGAAAGGACATGGTACATGAAGAAGAAGGTATGATTTTATCCAATTATAACCTGGCCCTCTAATGCCATATCTGTAAAGCGTTTCCATTAGTATTTTGAAATTTCAAGTATCAAATGAATTTGATAAATCTAAAAATATGCCCATGGATATATCTTTGTTTTCATAACCCTCATTTATCTTTGTTATAAAATCATAAATGGTAGTCTCTATAGATTTTCCTGTAAGGTACCCATGTTGTGCATGTCATAACAGTCCCTCACTATAGAAAAAACTGAGAACCCTGACACACATGACTGTTTCAAAAACCTTAGAGAATGATGGTAAGAGGCTTATTGGACGATAATTTTCTAGTAAAGTGGCATCACCTTTTTTATACACTGGTTTTACTACAGCTATTTTTAAGTTGTCTGCAGATATCCCATTTATGAAGCTTTTGTTTATTATATGACATAATGGTATAAGGCCTTTGACAAAGTACGCCACATTAAACTCAAAGAAATCCTGTAGGGTAAAAACATCGACACCAGAGACATACAAATAATATTAAATGTATACTGGAATCAGCGAGCTAATATAAAGGTAGAAGACCAAACATCGGACGAAATAGAAATACGTAGAGGAGTACGACAGGGTTGTATATTGTCACCGCTCTTGTTTAATATCTACCAGCGAACAAATATGCAAAGAAGCTCTCTCACATGCAACCGAAGGGATAATAGTCAATGGAGAAGTTATCAATAACATTTGATATGCTGAAGATACTGTGATAATGGCAAGAACAGCGGAAATGTATGTATAAACAAAATTTTTGTAAGAATCCAATACATGACACTAGTATCGCAATAAACGGTAGGTACCCATCTCGAAAAAGTAAGCAAATACAAATACTTGGGAACCCTCATCAATGAAACAGGTGACCAAAATCACGAGATTTTTTTATTATTTATTTAAATTTTAAACATAGAACTTAATATCCCGAAATAAAAACACTATAATGGGAACAGCATATCATTCATAAAAAAAAACTTAAAACCAATGTTCAATTATGATTTTAAAAATATTTATTGTAATTCATTTACTTTCAAGCCACAGAATTTTGATAACAATTATATCTCTTAATACTTACACAAATAAACGATGTAGGTATGTTTATCAAACATATTTCCTTATTAGCCGATTTCGTTTAAAGCAATATAGATATGATATATAATTCTTAAAAATGTAGAAAGGTTGCAATATTGCCCAAAAGGCTAAAGTTTGTATCAGATATAGATTTTACCAAGAAAAGATTTAACATCTTTTGTTAGTTCTTATATATCTACATGATTGTTTTTTGCCCATAATTGTTAGGTTTGTTTGTTCCTAATCCGTAAAAAGCTAGGTAATTAATGAATATCAGGAATTGAGTCGTTCTTAGCTTCCACTCAGTTATATTCACTGTATAGAGACTTCACGTGGATTAATAATTACAAAAACCCTGCAAAAATAGTTGGAATTTGTCTTTTATCTTACCACATCGTCTTTGATCATGTCAATGAAACGCCAGGAAAAATAATTCCAGACCAAGGCCTGTAAGCCTATGATTACAAAAACCTGCAGTAAAAGACTATTTCTCTTGAAAGAAATACTATTCAAACACATAACAAATAAAGCAGTACTAAACAACATAAACAGAGCTAGAACTAGCAATATAAACACGATAATGTTACTTACAAATACCCTGTACCTAGGTCACATAAATAACTAGCTAAGGCTATGAAAAATAGAAAGCAGAACAGCAATGTCACATATGCATTCATTTTCAACAATTACTAGATTTTGAAGTAGTGATCACACTTTGGAAGAAATCTGGTGCCACAATGTAGTTTTATTCTATGTTTGTAATTCTTGATCGCTAAAACGTGATATATCACGTTCTCGTCTCAGTCACAAGTTGTGAACTGAGAGACCAGACCATCAGCGGTATGGTGAACTCTTTTTCTAATGAGGAACGCAAAGGGAAAGATAATATTATATCGTCACTGAGAAGTGGAGAATATTTCTCCATTCGTGGAGAAATATGATTGGTGTAATATTGGTACTTAAACAAATATTTGAAGAAAATGAAAAGGGTATTTATAATTTCTATTCTCATACATTTTAAAAATGGCACCAGTTGCAGATAAAAAAAAAGATTAACATACGCATAAGACTATTTTGTTGCTCTGTTAAATAACAATCATAGGTAAATAGCCAATCACTAGTGGAGATATATCCTCCTACAGAGAAGAAACCGAGTATATATGTGCCACGGACACAAAGGGAGATGAATCATGTCATTTGCAGTGAAAAAATTAAAGTTGGTCTGACCACAAATAGAAATCAAGTACACAATAAATTTCATAGATCAACTTTTGCTTCCACTCTATTTGCGAAATTAATAATCAACAATTTTCTAAATAAATATTTTATTGTACAGGAAACTATATACAAATACTATAACATATTACAAAAATAAAACATTACAACTGTTCTTTTTGTTGTCTATCATCTTTGAACATATTTTTCAATTTTTCTTTGGTCTCTAACGATTTTTGAAAATTTCTTTTTCTCCTTTGGAGCCTCTCTTGCTTTAAACATTTTATCATTTGGTGATCCTCTGAATTACACATTCCAAAAATTCTTAAAAATGGGTGCTACAAAATTATTACACATTAATACATTGTATAACTACTACTAATAATATTCAGCTTCTTTTTGCTACTCTACTCAGCAACACCAATAGTTATAAAGAATGACAAAGAAAAATTTATATATAATATGGTATTTATTGACTATATTTTTATCCCATAGTACTTGATTGCCTTTTCTTAATTGAATATTCCTCTCTCTAATTGCTTCATCTAATGTTCTGTCATAGATATTGTTTTTGTATTTATTTTTCAATGTATTTATATTTTAAATAAGGTTTATTTGTTGTCCTCTTATACAAATATATTGTTTTTTTTTTAATTTACTTCTAATCCCCATTTTTCTACAAGCTTTCTTGTCATGTACTAAAAGGATATCATACTCTTGTGCTGTATGGGAGCAGTCATTGGGAGCCCCATATTTCTGCATTTCTTCTTCATTGTTCTAAAAATATTTTAAACAGTGTGGGTGAAAAACAGCAACCTTCTTGCAAGACCTTTTATTTGCTAACCTTATTTCCTGTTAATTTTTACTGTTGTGTTGATAGATTGTTTTAAAAATCTTATTAGTTCTATAATTTATTATGTTTATTTTCTCCATCACTTCCCACAGTTTAGTTAAGACTATAATAGGCTTTTTTAGGTCTACAATTTTGTTGTTTTCGCAAAGCTTTTCCATTTCATAATAAGTTACATTGTTTTTCTACTCCAACCTTCCTCTTGAAACTCTGTTCACTGCTTTGTTAAACAGGTCTTTAAAATATTCTTCCCATATCATAAGTGAACTAGTGAGTAGAATACATTTTGGTTCAGATATCTTTTAAGAGCCTTCTGATTTCAATATTGTTTTTCCTCATAGGTAGTTGTTTATGTTCTGCCATCATACATTTATGAAATGCAATAATATATTTATAAACCTGATAAGGTAAAGATTTGTAAATTTTCGAAAAATCAAGATTCGGTAGAATGAAACCACGGATATAAGCTTTTTTGCTAAAACTCTAGTCTACAAATCTAACCTTACCTCATTATGGCACTGTCGTAGGAGTTTAATTAATTCATTGCAATTTTCAGAATGCAAATGAGGAGATAAATCTGTGTGCATATTTTAATGATTTACTGTAATTATGTTAGTTCTCTATTTATCTGGTCTAAAAATTATAATTGAATGTAAATAAACGTTTTCTGTCTAAACTCACAGCTCAAACAATAGACAATTTGACAACTGAAGTGTGAAGTGACACTTGTGTCATATCAGTGACAAATGATAGCTAACATTTTCTTCGAGTTCAGAGTAAAAAAGAGATATATATTCTTTATGTCACAGAGAGAGATAAACTTTAGTAACTTAAAAGATAAAATTCATGATCGTTACCATAGAACAGAAAATTTCAGAGCAGCTACGAATCAAACTTATAGTAATAGAGCTAGTGATATAAAATAATAAATTATTATTTTGTTTAAAAACAAATTATACTCTTTAAATTTTGAATACGTAGCGACAAATAGAAAGATTAAAGTTAAATTAATTAAATTAGTATACCTAAGTTATACAAAAATAAAGCTACAAATTATTATCTTGTTTTTCGTTTAATAACAAATTATACTCTTTAAATTTTGAATATGTAGCGACAAATGGAAAGATTAAAATTAAATTATTATACCTAAGTTATACAAAATATATCTAACAATGAATAAATCTACAATTATCTCTCTGTATTGCTTTGCTCAATCTCTGCATGCCAGCTGTTAACGTACTTGGCGACATTTGGACTATATTTTTCGCAATTACCACTTATTATAAACACAATCTATTCTCATTGAAACGCTCATTAGGACTATTAAGATTTTGAAAAAGCTTAAATAGTTGATGTTGCTAACTCTTGGACTATTTAGATAAGAGCCATTTGTATTCAGATATGGATACGAAGTTGTACGCCGAATTTACGCGAAGCTATTCGTGGGAGGATACATTCTCAAAATAGGCTTGTAGCATTATTGTACCATGGGCTTGTAGATTATTTATACGTTTGTATGAGTCTGTTAATAATATTATTGTGCAACGTTCCGAAATGACAAGTGTTTAAAACTAGCTTATTTATTTTTGAATGCACAAGTGTCAACTAAAAATGCATTAAAGTTTGTGTACAGTTTTGTTTCTGTTGTAATGTTTATTCTAATTTGACCCTGAATTTTACACCAAAATAACAAAGTAAGTACTTATACATATTTATACAAACAAAAAACTATGTAGTAATAAATAAATGGTGAAATTAAGTATAATTAGAGCAAGTCCCTTGGATGTCAACGATGTTTTAAGTCAACAAACTTTAAAAATACTTGGTGTCCTTCAGTCCTTTAGAACAGTCACTCATATTTACCAAAATACTTTCACCTTATTTCCTAATAATGAGCAATATGCTCTACTGATATAATCAGTCTTTTAGTACAAAGAAATTTATTATTTCAGGAATATGGAATCATTCTTCAGTCTCTTTGAGCCTACTTACAATGAATGTCCTCACAGTGAGGAATTTGGATTGGATAATATGAATAATAGGACTTCTCTACCCCCAGAGCCTCAGCTTGGAAATGTGGAATACAAATTAAAGATTGTCAATCCCACTAAACAGAGATTTGAGCACTTAGTCACACAGGTTAGTAGTTGTTTCTATTTGAATTTTATTTTGAGATTAATTCATCAGTATTCTTCATCTACACTATATTGCATTTTATGTACATATTTTTAAAAACATTGCTGGAAGTACAATAATTTTTAAAATTACATCAGAAATAAACAGAATTGTTAAAATTACATCAAAAATAAATATATACCTAGAAACTGACCAACAATTAAACCCTGGGAATTCCTGCAGTTTTAGATTAGATAGTACTGAATTTATTTCTAATGATGCAATTCCTGAAATAAATTATACTGTGTAACACAATACACAATATTAATGTTTTTTATTTAGGGTAATTTTCCCATCATTACTCTTATCAGTCTTATCTTCTAATATCTGTTTGTGTTTTTTATTTATATCTTTTAAGAGTTTTTTACTGAAAAATAAAAATGTATTTATGTGAATCCCAAATTATAATCTTAATATAAATATAAGAACAATGCATACATGCAGATAAAAACGAATGGCAACCAATAAGAGAGCAGAATCCTTTAACTGTATAGGAATATTATTAGTAATAAATATACACCCATGGACAAAAATATCAAATATTTTGGAATTTTCTAATTTTTCTTTTTTGAAAATAAATTTTGGTCAATCAAGTCGTTTATTATGAAAAACACTTTATTTTAATAATTTTTTGATTTTAATGAAGGGTCAATCAATGCCAAGTGGTCGGCAAGTGATGGGCAAGCAAGTAAAAATTCGAAATTTGGCTGAATGTTAGTTTCTGATGAGTAGAATGAGGGGTAAAACTTTGAAGTTGTAGACTTAAGGCATATAGGAGTTACAGGCCTGAGAAAATGGCAAAAAATCATTAATTTGAGTGTTTGAGGTTTTCACCAAATTTCACAATATAAATACAAGTAATGATTTTTTGCCGTTATATCAGGCCTGTAACTCCTATATGCCTTAAGTTTACAACTTAAAATTTTTACCCCTTATTCTACTCATTGGGAACTAACATTCAGTCAAATTTCAAATTTTTACTTGCTTGCTCATCAGAGATATCAGGGCTCAAACTTTGAAATTTTTCAAAAAATTACATTTTTGAGATTTTTTTTGAAACAATTGACTTAAGTCTCAAAGCTCAAACTTTTTTCATTGGAAGTATGTATGTATGTCTGTTCCAGAACAAAATTACAAACCATTATCAGCTTGCCTGATGTTTTTAAAAAAACATTGAAAACAGAATTTTATCAGTTCACCTTTTCAAACTTTGAGGTCCATTTAAGATCGTGAGGGTAGTACTTTTCCAAACAGTTTGGTTTTTGATTTATTGTCGTAGGCTAAATGTAAGTGAAAATATTGGCTAAAGAGTGAAGCCATGTTTTCCGTTAAAATGACTGACATGATGAAACAAAAATAGCCGCCATCGGCAAAATCAATTTTTTAAAAATAAAATGAATACAATTTTGTATACTCTATAAACTGAAGTTTAATTGGTAGAAAAATAAAAAATATTAAAAATAGTTGAGCCACCAACTTAATTTATATTGGCCCACTTCATATAAATTGACCCTGAACAAGTTTTTATGCGGAGAAAATTGCGAAAAAAAATGCTTAAATGCTAACTTAAATTGCTTAAACAAGTCCTTTTAATTGAAACAAGTGCATGTTCAGTAACAAGTATTCTCCCCTCTAGCTCTTATTACTGCTTGCATCCTTCTCTGCATGCTTGCAAGTAAATTTTGGATACATCCTTGGGAAATTGCATTCCATTCATCTTGTGCAGCAAGCCGAAGCTGCTCTATCGTACTTGGAATGAGATTTCTTTGTTGTATATGGTGTTTTAGCTGATCCCACATGTCTTCTATTGGATTTAAATCTGGACTAAATGGTAGCCAATCCAATCTTCGAATTTAGATGTCATCAAGATAATTACTTACTATTGCAGCGGCATGTGGTCAAGCATTATCTTGCATTAACAGGAATCTTTCATATCCAATGTAACCAACATATGGCAAAACATGATCTTGCAGAATATTTTTAACATAAGTGTCACAAGTCACCTGTCCAGTCACTTCCACAAGTGTGGTGCGTCCCTCCCAACTAATGCCTCCCCAAAGCATTAAATAAATAAATAGTTTATTTACGGTTATACTGATTACAATAATTACAATCATTGAATAATTCATATCATATTAACAGTTTTAGAACTCAATAATAATTACATACAATTTACACAAGACAAATAAATAGAATAAATACCTAAATGACAGTTTACAGTGACAGCCTACATTGTATTTTAAAAAGATTTGTTCGGCTTTTTTCGAAAACTATTCAGAGAGCTAGAAAAAAAGTCTATATCTAAGCCATTTCCAGAGTGACACATTCGTCTTATAGGTCTATTTAGACAATAGTTTTTTTGTTGGAATCCTAAATGAAAAAACGTCCTTAGATCTTGTGCACCTTTGAGGAACCCTAAGACCTATTCTCTGCAAAATTTGAGGCGAATCTATCATACCGTTTACAATATTAAAAAGAAAAACCAAATCTATCATTAAACGACGATTTTCTAATGTTGGTATATTAAGTAATTTTAAAATGTCACAATACACTATATCTTCTGAAGAAATTCCTAATTTGTAACTTACAAAGCGCAGACATTTTTTATATAAAGGAGACCAAATAGTACTGGAATATTCCAGAATTGATCTAGCCATAAAACAATACACACTTTTAAAACAATCTAGGTTATTGAATTCTGATAAGGTTCTTTTCAAAAATCCAAGTAATTTAAAAGCTTTATTACAAATAAAATTATAGTGATTTTTGAAACGTAAAGTGGGATCAAAAAATACAACTAAATCTTTAAAAGTATTTGTTGGTACCAGAAATATATTATTTATAGAGTAATTAAAACAGATAGGTTGTGAGTTTCTAAAAATGCCCATTCTCTTACATTTATCAATATTAAGTGACAGGTCATTCTTTGTACACCATTGTGAGAAACTGTTTACATCTTTTTGCATTTTTACACAGTCTCTAACATCCTTAATAATTCTAAAATTTTTCAAATCATCAGCATACAACAAAATAACACAAGTTTCAAAGATTTCTGAAATGTCATTTATGAAACAAATAAAGAGAATAGTTGATAAATAAACACCCTGTGGGACGCCAGATGTAACCAAAATCTCTTCAGGAAGACAGTTCTTGACTTTGACAACCTGAAGCCTCTCTGTCAGATAGCTCTCCAACCACTCATAGAGCTTCTAGTTTTTTTTATAAGAATCTTGATGTTAACCCAATCGAATGCCTTTGAGAAGTTGGTATAGATCACATCGACCTGAGCCCTCTTCCCAAAGGCATCCAAAATTTTTCTTGGATCACTAGTGGGCATAAAGCCACGTTGTTCAGGAATAATTAAACTTTTAATTGGAAAAAATATTTTTGAAGCAATAATTGAGTCAAAAATCTTTGCAAGAACAGAAATTTTGGAAATGGGTCGGTAATTCTATACATGTTTTACTACCATTCTTAAAAATAGGTGAAATATAACTTTTTTCCACTCTTCTGGGAAAGTACCAGTACTCAATGAAAAACGAAAAACCCTTAGTAATACAGGCGACAGAACAAAATGACAATTATGTACAAAATAAGGTGAAATTTCATCAGGACAACTACTAAGTTTTAGATTTAATTTTTCTAACTTATTAAAAATATCTATTAGACTAATATCACAGCTGCTTAAACTAATTGTTTTATTATAATCAAAGCTTGGAATATCACAGTTATTGTTATCTACATATGATTTAGAAAAATGCTGTTTAAAAAAATTTGAAATTTCTGATGGATTGTTTGACTCATTGTTGTTATAGTCATGTTGGTAAGTCATAATGTTTAAATTCCTCATATGTTACTGTTATCAAAAGCCTAGTGAATTCAACTCCATATATGGTTAAACATAAAAAGCTGAGAGTTGATGATTAATATACTAAGGAGTTTTACTATGGTACTAATGCTGTTCAAATTTATTAGCTTTATATTGTGAGTGTATTTCGTTTATAAAGAGTACAAATTCCCAGCTATAATTTTCTCTTTATTTTAAATCCAAACACCCAATATTTTATATCAGCATAATCGTAGCTATTTATGCAATTGCAAGTTATTTTTATTTGTGAACTGAAAAATTTACTATTTTTAGAGAAAAACTATTTTCTATTTTTATTTTTATGTAGATCATAAAAATAAAAAATTGTGACATTTTAATTAAAACATTACCATCAACATTTTGTTGAGTAATGGTTTAATTGGAGATTAATTGGAGGTTTAATTGGAGAACAAACAAAATATAACCAGAACAAAATTCAACAATCTAAAGGCACATATCACAAAGCAAGAGATCATTTTAACAGAGTTAAAGGTATATTGAATAGATCAAAATCGAGAACATTTAATAGCCCCATGTATCTATTCAATGGCTCGTGAATACCAATATTCAATGGTAATGAAAAAGACATTTATGATAAACTGTTAAAATCTTATGAAGAATTTAACTCGTTTAGATTTGAAATTGCTAACGAAATCCAGTCCATAGCCAACACATCAAATCATCAAACAGTTAACCTGTCAAAAAACTGAGAAGTAGCCTAAAATGTTACTTTCATAATGTTGGCGGACTTCGAACTAAACTCTCTTAAGGGACTCTTTGCTACTAAATGATTATGATATTGTTATTTTGATTGAATCGTGGCTATCTAAAAAGTTTCTGGTTAGTGAGACTGGTCTATTAAACTATAATGTTTATAGACAAGACCGGTATCAGCATGGATTGGACATTGTGGGCGGAGGAGTGTACATTGCAATCAAGAAAAACCTATCCTCTAAACTAATATGTAAGTCAAATTTGTTTAACATAGAACAACTTTTTGTGGAAGTTAAACTGAATGATGATCAGCTTATAATAGGAGGAATCTATATACCACCTAGTTCTTTAGCTGATGCATATGAATATCACTGCACCTTTC